TAGCTACGTACTCCACATTAGAAAAAACGTAATGGCGATCCATTTTGGCGGCAATAATATTGTACTGCGCTTGCGTGGTTGCGCGGACGGCGTTCGCGGTGCGACTGGTGTGAATGAAAGCGGTGCGAGGCGATGCGGGCCGATGCGAGTGACAGAGAGCGCGGTGGTTGCCTTTGTTGTTTGTCGTGAGGCGATCCGCTCGCGCGCGCGTGCATTGCAGTTTATGCTGTATTACTTAGTCCGAGAGATTATTTTACTATGAACATTGATTTGACGTCACATTTTAGAAGAGAAACTATCGTTTCTCATGCTTTCGAGTTGATGATTATTTTTTTGAGTAGATGAGGAGAAAAAAAAATTTTTTTCATAAAGTAACTTGCATTATTCGATAGTACTACTAAAGGGAAATCGTTCTGCTGCGGGAAAACAACCATTAAAATGTCAGCGTGTATATTCGAAATATCAGTGGCGTTACAAGTGCATTACCGGCCTTATGGGAATGGCAAATTTTGAATATTGTAGGGAATTCGAGGATTGGGGAGACTGGAGAGGGGGGATAATTGGGCCTCCGATAACCTGACTCATACGACGAAACACAGCGCAAGCATTATTTCACGTTGGTTTTCTGTGAGGCCGTGGTATCACTCCGGTCGAGCCGGCCCAGTCGTGCCGAAGCATGGCTCTACAACACTCAGCAAGTTTAAACACCTCTTGAAAAAAGTCGCAGTCCTAACTGTGCAGAGTGTGACACTATGGAGGATGTATATATGTATAATGTGTCAGGACGAGGGCTGGGAGAGAGGCTTTGAAACATATGTTTAGAATTAATTTATTAGATGTTGGCGTTTTTCATAGTATATTGTCACAACCTTAATCCAAAGCAGCTATCTTTTTATATAAAATAGTAAATAAGAGTAGAATTTAAGTTAATGTAAGTTTTGAAAAATCTGTTTAGGGAGTGATGGGTCTGGCATGGTCTTTATGTGATCAAAAGACTAAATTAATAAAGATATTAAAAAAAAAACACTTAAAATTTAATTGATTGATTGGTGTAATATTATACTGTTTTTAATATTATAAACACGAATTAAGCACTTTAGACTTATCAATTTATTTCTTTTTATCAAAAACCCAAGTACCCACTAAGCTACTGTATCATCATCACAATCATCAACAGCCTATAAGTAGCTTCTCTCTCGCACGGAGAAGGTTTCAGCATTAATCACTAAGCTTACTCAATGCGGGTTGACGCCACTTTATGTGTTTGGCTGGACAAGGTTTTATCACAAAATTACATTGCTTTATTATACAACTATTAACAACTGAGTTACTATCTAAAAAATAACCCTTTTTGAACACAAAACGGGAGTCGTCGAAAAATACAAATTATATAACTAATTGGCGAGAGTTTTTAGCACAACCCCCAACTTTGGTGAGCTTCGTTAGGTCTTTGTTAATTTTGTTAAATAATTAATTATACCAAACCACTGAGACGTGCTTTACTGAATAATTGTTTGGTAAAGGCGGGATACAATGAGAGAAAATCTTTATTACAAATGTTTGTTGCACGTGTTTGCTTTAGATATATTGCTTTATATATTAGGTTTATATATTTTTTAATATCCAGAGCTCTGTGTATTTTTTTTTTAATTATTGAGATTTTTATTTTATTATTTTTTTATTTTAAGTTGTAAATATTTATGTAGTTATATATGTTCGATATCTTAAATAAAAATAAAACATTGTATATTAGATGTATAGCTTTATCGATTAAAGTAATTATGATGACTTTTGAATGTTACAGTCCTTTAGTTGGTCATTCGTGTCGTTGAAGCCTTTGCTTTTTACAATAAGTCCGTATTTTTGGTATACTCACATGGTTTGGTTACTATGCAGTTGACGTTCATATTCTGGTAACCGAAGCATATAAAACGACGCTCAAAGTAACTTGGTTCTAATTAGAGGAGAACTATTTCTTTATCCAACAGTAAAAATTGCAAGCATATCAACATCAAAATTCGACGAAGCATATACAACGACCAAATTAAATGAACCACCTACACCGAAGTACCTCGTCCGTTGGCTCAGACAATGTATAATTAGATCTATGTTTTTCTTCGTAATTTAGTCTGAAGTCTGAGAATTGAGCTCGACGTACGGCAATAAGATTAACGCCAAGTTTTTAGAAGGTGGATGTTACATTCAAAATGGCGTTATTTGTAACTTTTATGTGCATAAAGTTAAAGATCGGCTCAATGAGAGTTTCTGATAGAGGTAAAAATTATCTGATGATGATATCTAAAGAACTAAAAGTGTAATATTTTCACTATTTTATAACTCAGTGTGTGAGAGTCAGTGTGGGAGAGCCATGCTTCGGCGTGAATGGGCCGAGTCGTCCGGAGTGATATCACGGCCTCACAGAAAACCGACGTGAAGCAACGCTTGCGTTGTATTTCGTCATGTGAGTAAGGCTACCGGAGGCCCAGTTATTTTTCTAATCTCCCCAATCACCGAATCCCCAACAATCCTCAAATCCCTAATTCAAAATGCAAGGCACTTGTAACGCTTCTGGTGTTCCAGGTGTCCATACGCGAAGCCCATTACTTATCATCAGGTGGCCCGTCTGCTCGTTTACAGGCTTATCCCATAAAAAGTTCAGAAATGGTCTGAGGATGATATTTTGAGGACTAGAAGTGTAATATTTCGGTATTTCATAACCCAGTGTATCCCACCCTTACAATGCGTCACAGAAAATAATAAAACTTATACGATTTAACGAGGACTGGTCATGCATAAATAATCTAAGCACGAGAAATAACATTGCCTAAATGTGGGTTAAAATATTTTGGTACATAAAGTATTCAAGATTTTATTGCTAAAATAAAGTACTAGGCATTTTATTGCTGCTTTTCAAAAGGCACGAATATAATTCACTGTATTATGTATTGCGTGGTGTATTTAGGTCTCCAGTAGACATGCTACTTAGAGAATCGATAAGTTATTTTTCGGAAACTCGATGACGTGTTATAATTATAAAATAATCGATATTCGATATAGGTGAAATGTTAGATATCGAGGCACTGATTGGACTTTAGAATGATTGGCCTGTCTCAATAACTATAACAACAGATTTGTGGGTACATTTTCTTCTAGAGATTTCCTCATATGTTTTAATAAAAATGTGTTTCTACGTCCAGACAAACTATGTTTAGAGACAGCGTAAAATCGATTTTGTTTTGAAGAATGTCGGTGTACGAGTATAGTCGCCAATTATCGATTGTTTACCTTAAAAATAACACCTAGGACGTAAAAAGCCTGGAGGCGTAATTGTGGACAAGATTATTTTTAAATAGGACTGTGTCTCGTACGGTTTTTTTAGGATAAACTCGCCCCACATTTCAACTTCTGTAAGCCAGGATCTAAAATGTAGACGAATCAAAAAAAGTATGGAGGACCAAATACAGACTAATTTCGTAATGACTTCTATAGAACAAATTATTAGTAAGAAGCTGTGTGTATGCTTTGGTTGTGTGCTTAAAGGCGTTAAAGGTAAAATTGGCCTGTACAGCCTCAACAAGCAACATACCTCCGGATACAAAAATCATACAATAATTAATTATTTCCTATTACAATGAGTTTCCAATTCTTTGTGTGATCTACAAACTGCTGTTTCAAGACTGACTGTGATTTGTATTATAAAAACACCTACGAACATGAAGACGCGTGCATTGAAAAAAAAAACAAAGACCAACACTTTTGCATATAAAACACTAGCCCGCGGCTTAACCTGCATGCCCGATAAAAAGTAGCCTATGTGTTATTCCAGACAATATTCTATCTCTGTTACAAATTTTACTCTTTACGCGAAGCCGGGGCGAGTCGCTAGTACTATATATTAGTAGGATCATTAGCTGCTCTCTGACTGCTGCTGCTGCTGGCTGACTGCCTCATTGGCCGAGTGGTCACAAGTGCGACTGCCGGGCAAGGGGTCTCGGGTTAGATTCCCGGGTCGGGCAAAGTATTACTGGGTTTTTCTCAGTGGTAGCACGGAGTCTGGAACTGTGCCCGGTATATGGCAATAGGCTCACCCCCTATTACATGAGACTCATAACATAAATAGTGAAAAGTGGGTGTTACATTACAGTGGCATTAAGTGCCGTAATGTGCACCTCTGCCTACCCTTTCGGGGATAAAAAGGCGTGATGTTATGTTATGTTATGTTATGTAGTAGGATCAGGTAAAAATGTACATAGGTATCCATCTTTCAACGTGAATGAAATCGCCAGTAAAAATACCGTTTAAAGACAAACTGAAGCTCTGAAACTTTCAATCAACTGCCACAATAGTGCTTCGTATTTTCAAACAGATAAACCAAACCAGTTTGCGCTTTTGACTTTGACTCGCTCGTAAATAAAAGTCCAGGTGATTGCTCGGACATTCTGAATGTGGTAATGGATTTTTATTTTTACACGAAGGAGTTTTGCTACTATCAAGCTTGTACTAAATTGATTTTAAAGGGGAAAAAAATTGTAGTTATGCACGATGAGTTAAATTAACTTTGGTTAAATTTCTAGAGCAAAGGATTATTGTCAGATGTCAGACGCCCGCATGACGCCCGCTTCTCATGCATGAGGGTTCGAAACTTACCAACGGCAAGTACCAGTGTGACTTTTTCCGAGTTATATGTACTTTCTAAGATTATTTAGACCCCACTGACAAACGGTGAAGGAAAACGTCGTGAGGAAAACAAGGCTTATAATTTCTAAATAACATAACATCACGCCTTTCTTCCCGAAGAAGTAGGCAGAGGTGCACATTATGGCACTTACACTTGAGACCACTTGGCCAACGAGGCAGTCAACGTTAGTTGTAGTTTATTAATCATTTAACGATTTTTGATGTAGCAGACCCAACTATTTGTAACACAACATATTTTGCGGTAGGCATTATCACTAAAGACAGAGAAGGGGACAGCTTTAAAATCTAAAATAAATACTTACGTGGTTAGTATATCATAGACGGTGTATCTAGCCAGGTAGGAGTGCGTGTGGATCTTGCGCACATTCTGCGCCAGGAGCAGGAACCGACGATCGGCTGACACTGAGAATGAAGCTGGTTCTAGCACCCTCTGCAACAAATTGTATACTCTATTTAGATGATAATTGAATTCAATACTGTGTTACTGGGCTTAGGACCTCCTCTACATATTAGTGATTACTATAATCTGGACGTCTAGCAGGCGGCTGGGGATCACTGTTCAGAGGCGCTGCTGTCAAATGTGTAGTGTAGTCGATGCTTACGTCGCGTCGTCTAAAATAGCGGTGAGGAAAAATTATAATACTACTAGCGGACCCGACAGACGTTGTCCTGCATATCCACTTGAATGTATAAACAAAAATTTATTCAAATTAGTTCAGCCGTTTAGGATAATTAACCTAGACCCGGCAGATAGCACTGCAGTCGCAGCGCCATCTGCCGGGCTGATTTGTGAATCTAAACCATCCAGGATGTCACTCAAACGTGTACAGAAAAATTCATTTAAATCGGTCATGCCGTTTAGGAGGAGTTAATGACATACACACGTACAGCAGAATTATCTACAATATATGTATATAAGATTCTGCAGTCATCAAATTGCTTTAGCAGATAATTGCACACATTAAAATATCCTGTAACAATATGTTCAACATTGAACCCTAATTCGCATATCATTCGACACGCGATCCCCATATTATAGTAGTATCGAATTATACCCATAGTCGATACCAGGAAACGAGAAACGATGCCTACGCCTATAAAGAGCATCGTAAAACAGGTATCGATGTTATCAAATTGGATTGAATCGATTCTCCTGGTCGTATTTGGTAGTAATGTTCGTGGTTATGATGTTACGGTATTTATTTGTCTTGAAGGATGTTTTGCTTTATTGGTGTGTTGCTTTGAGTATGTCTTTTGTATTTATGCGGCCCTGGTACATGTTTGTGAAGTGAGTAATATTTTGGACAAGGTTTTAAGGAGGGGGCAATATTATCGAGTGACTGCTCCCGCCTGGGTGACGCGTGAGGGAGTGTCAGACTCTTAATGACTAATAAAAACCACCCCGTTCCTACTCCTGCTGTACGAGCCGGAGCCCCGGTAACCCGTTAAGTTCTCCGGCAACAGCCCTATTAGGCCCCATCCGTGGTGGTCTGATGGCTCTTCAAGGCGCGCGCGCAACGCGACGCGACATGCGCTCGGGTCTATCAAACAATTCGAAAGGTGAAAGTTCAAATTACTGTAACAAGAACAATTCACATCGAAAAATATTGTAGTGCTGAATTAAATGTTTTCTACAATAACTTTAAAATAATTTCAACATCACGCCTTTTGATCCCCGAAGGGATAAGCTGAGGTGCATATTTCGGCTCTTAATGCCACTGTACAATGTAACACCCACTTTTCACTAATTATGTTATGAGTGGGGACTACAGGGGTGTAATAGGGGGTGCGCCTAATGCCATATACCGGGCAAATTTCCAGACTTCGTGCTACTACTGAGATCTACTACGGCAGTCGGTAGGCAACGAGGCAGTCAGAGAAGTCATGTAATTTTCAATAAATAAAAATCAGTTGAAGAGGAGAATTTGATCCAAATAAAGTTTTTTTTTTGTTATCGACTTTTTAGTTACATCACCAATAGGCCGTGACAATCCACTGCTCTACTATGGACATTGCTCATTTATAAGTAGGGTTCCTATAATTTCTACGCTTAGCAGGCGCGATACAGGTTGCATTTAAACTGTCAAACACCAAGCGGTCACCGGAGACCGCAACCTATTGTTCTATAATTGTGTCTATAATGACGGTACTCGACGAGTTAAAAAAGTTTAAGTTTAAAGCGCTGCTGCCCGATTTCTATCAAATTTGTAGTCCGTTAATCGATTTTTAGGACCACAGTAATAGTAAAAATCTATGGTATTATGGCCGTCACGTAACATAAAATTAAAAAAATATGTTTAATGCTATAAATCTTCTTTACAATTACGGAAAACCTAGGCTGCTTCCCACACGATACTAAAAAAGGAATACAACCTACGCCAATGTCGTAGCTAATATACCTGCCGGTGCAATATATTATTGTCAATGAACAGAATTGGAGCAGAAATCTTCATTACCAGGCCATCAGGAGTCACAAGGAATATAGCTTAACACGAATTTACTACGACAGAAAGAGAAAAGATTGGCCCCGGTATTTTTTATACCAGCTTCATTAGTTACGATTTTTATTTTCGCTTTTACTACTGTAGACTTTAATTGCATTTTTGTTTGCAATGCATAAATTTATTTATTTATTTATTAACACTTCTGTATAACAAACATACGATGGCGGACTTAATGCCGGGTGGCATTCTCTAACAGTCAACCATGGGGTGATGCAGAGATGTGCAACAGTAGGTGTAATAGGTATAATGGTTTATGTGAAGCATAACTGTAAATACATACATATATCCGTATATATAGGTATAATGTAAATTACATAAGATACATTATCAATATTACTAAATAACAATACTATAAAAGTGAATAAATAAATTGGGAATAAAAATACATATAATATATATTTATAATATATATATATTTATACATATATATTAAATACAATCGCCAAAATGATAAATTAAGTAGGTGATGCGTCTGTCTGTTCCCTCTGCAATAGTTCACGAACCTTAACTTTAAAACTAAGCCGGCTGGTTGCCGTCCTGACATCCGTGGGCAGCGCATTCCACAGCAGAATGGATTGGACAAAGAATGAAGAGTGAAGGAAGTCGGTCCGGTGCGTGGGACATTGTAGAAGAAGATTATTAGTGGAACGAAGATACTTGCTGTGGTTTGCACTTATGAACTGAAAATAGGAGGATAGATAGCTAGGAGAAGTGGGGGAATTAAGAAGAGAAAATAAAGTGGTTAACGCCCGTTGTTTCCTGCGTTGACGTATGGGCAACCACTTTAGTTGCAACCGATATGCAGAGACATGGTCGTATTTACGCAGGTTAAAGACGAATCGAATGCAGTTATTTAGAAGGCGGTCAAGTTTATTGAGGAGATCTGCATTCAGGTCGTAGTAACACACATCAGCGTAATCAATTATGGGGAAAACCAAGGACTGAACAAGCATCGCCTTGGTCGACGACGGAAGGAAGTTTTTTAACCGATAGAGGGCTCGCAACGTCCCCGTGACTCGCTGACAGACACTAGTAACATGAGCACGCCAGGTTAAGTTGCCGTCGATGTGCAACCCAAGATTTTTGACATCACTACTAAATGGAATGACCGCACCGTCAAATCGGACTGGCGGTACCGTTGCACTGTTAACCTTGCACAAAGTGCGGGAGCTACCTACTATTATCGCCTGACACTTGCTCGGGTTGACATTAATGCCAAATTTCCCAGACCAGTTAGATATGGCAGTCAAGTCCGCGTTCACCTTCGCAACTGCATCAGGTAAGTCCTCAATCTTGACTTGACAGTACAATTGCAGGTCGTCGGCATACAGATGGTACGCACACTGAAGTTCGGAAGTGATAAGGTTTATGAAGATGGAGAATAGAAGAGGAGAGAGAATTCCGCCTTGAGGAACCCCAGCCTCTAAATGGCACCAGTTCGACGAAGCCTCACCAACCTGGACCAATTGCTGACGTTCCTGAAGATAAGATGAAAACCAATCCAGTGCACCATCAGAGACCGAAAGATGGGATAGGATAGCTAGCAAAATGTCGTGATTGACCATGTTGAAGGCATTCGAAAAGTCCACCAAAACCAATACTGTGATCCTGGTGTCCTCCATCCCTGCCTTCACATCGCCAATCACTTTAAGGAGAGCGGTTACAGTACTGTGCCCGGGCCTGAATCCGGATTGCAATGGACTTATAAGCGAGTTACTGTATATGTAGTCAGCAAGTTGCTTATGGACACAGGCCTCGAGCACCTTTGACAGGAAGGGAAGAATTGATATAGGACGGAAGTGTGTGGGAAGAGTAGGATTGGTTATCTTAGGAAGAGGACGGACATAGGCTTTACGCCACAAGGATGGGAAGACTTTGGAGTACAGGGAATAGTTAACCATGTGAGTTATGGTTGGGAGGAGATGATCGAGTATGGTTGTGACCATATACCGCGATATACCGTCACAACCCACCGCCCTGGATTTAATGGAGAGGATGATCTTTCGAATCTCTTCAGGCTGCACCGGTGTGAATGTGAAAGAAGCTAAAGAAGACGAACGCATCAGAGCAGAAATAAAAGATAAAGTTTGCTGTTTAGCAAGAGGATCCAATTTGGACACAGTGGAGAAATGTCGGTTCAGGTCATTTAAACCAACAGAATTTGGGAGGTCAGTGTGTTGTGATTTGCCGATACCTAGAGTCCCGAGGAATTTCCAGATATCGGCCGGAGATGAAGAAGAGATGTTATCTAGAATATGTCGGCGTTTAGCATTACGTACCATCTGGTTACACCTATTTCGAGCGTTTTTATAGGCCGCCCAGTTCTCGACAGTTCGATCATTTTTGTGCTTTCGGAACGCGCGGTCTCTGCGCCGCATTGCCATCTGTATGTGTCTGGTCATCCAAGGTGCGGGAGGCCGTTTTAATTTAATTTTCTTCACGGGAGCATGGCGGTCGTAGAGCTCAGTCAAAGTTTTGTTAAAAACAGCGACCATGGTATCGACATCTGCAGCCTCCATCAGAGGCCCCCAATCAATACTCGATGCATCCTCTATAAGTTTTTCACTATCCATCCGTTTAAAACAACGCCTGAACAGAACCCTAGGCCTCACCCTGGGTGGTTTCAGGATATAGGACAGGAAGATCAGGTCATGGTGAGAGAATCCGGGAGCCTCATGTTGACCATGAGAAGAAACTAGTGAGGGATTGGACGTGACTATCAGATCGAGCCATGAGTCCTCACCGACAGTGTTGTGATGAGTGGGTTGGAGAGGTAGTAGATGAAGACAGGCTGACTCGATCAGATGCCGAAGCCTACAGGAACGAAAGGAGTTGTGGACAAGGAGATTGGTGTTGAAATCACCCATGATTACGTGATGTGCATACTCTGAACCCAGAGATTCTAGTACTGATTCGAATTCAGTGA